AGCCACCCAGGCGCCCCTGAACTGATCTCTTTATCATTATGTAATAATGCCCTTCTTTGTCTCTTGTTACAGTTTTTGTTTCAAAGTAATTTTCTCTGATCTAAGTATTGCTACATTGACTCCTGCCCCCCAGCCACTCCCATTTGCATGCTATATCTCTTTCCATGCTTTCTCTTTGTATGTATGTCTCTTTACGTCTGAAGTGAATCTCTTATAGGAAACATATATATGAGTCTTTTTTTTTTAAGATTTTATTTATTTATTTGACAGAGCGGGAGAGCGAGCACACAAGCAGGGGGACCAGCAGGCAGAGGGAGAAGCAGGCTCCCCACTGTGCAAGGAGCCCGACGTGGAACTCTATCTCAGGACCCTGGGATCATGACCTGAGCCAAAGGCAGATGCTTAACCAACTGAGCCACCCAGGCACCCCTGGTCTTTTTTTTTTTTTTTTTTTCCCTTCAGTCACCCTATGCCTTTTGATTGGAGCACTTAATCCTTTTACATGTAATTATTGATAAATATGTACTTATTGCCATTTTGTTCATTGTGTTGGTTATTTTTGTAGGTATTTTCTGTTCCTTTCTTCTTCTCTTGCTCTCTTTCCTTGTAGTTTGATGGCTTTCTTTAATGTTATGCTTGCATTCCTTTCTCTTTTGTGTGTGTGTATCCATTATATGGTTTGCTTTGTGGTTATCATTTCATTCATATAATGTCTCCTGTGTACAGCAATTATATATTAAGTTGATGGTCACTTAAGTTCAAGCACATTCTAAAAGTACTAAATTTTTATCCCCCCGTCCACTTTTTATGCATATATCATATTCTGCATTTTTATTTTGTGTATCCCTTGAGTGAATTTTGTAGAAATAATTGATTTTACTACTTTTTGTTTTAACCTCCATACTGGCTTTATAAGTGATTTATCTGCGACCTTTACTATATGCTTGTTTTTAACCAGTGAAATATTTTCCTCTCATAATTTTTTTCCAGTTATGGCCTTTTCTTTCCAGTCAAAGAATTCCCTTTAATGTTTCTTTTTTTTTTTAAGATTTTATTTACTTGACAGAGAGAGACAGCGAGAACAGGAACACAAGCAGGGGGAGTGAGAGAGGGAGAAGCAGGCTTCCCGCCAAGCAGGGAGCTCGATGCGGGACTCGATCCCAGGACCCTGGGATCATGACCTGAGCCGAAGGCAGACGCTTAACGACTGAGCCACCCAGGCGCCCCCCCTTTAATGTTTCTTATCAGGATGTTTTAGTGATGATGTATTCCTTTAGCTTTTGTTTGTCTGGGAAGTTCTTTATCTCTCCTATTCTAAGTGATGACCTGCTGGATAGAGTATTCTTGGTTATAGGTTTTTTTTCCTTTCAGCACTGTGTAGGCCAGAAGGGATCATAATGACATATTAAAAGTTTTGGCTGGGGGGGAAAAAAACCAGCTGATAGCTTTATGGGGTTTCTCTTGTATATAACGTTTTTTGTTGTTGTTTTTTTCCTTTTCTTGCTGCTTTGAAATTCTCTCTTTATCATACTTTTTGCCATGTAAATCATTATGTGTGTTGGTGTGGACCGCCTGGGTTCATCTTGTAAGGGGCTCTCTCTGATTCCTGGACCGGAATGTCTGTTTCCTTCCCCACATTTAGGGAGGTTTTCAGCTATTATTTCTTTGAGTAAATTTTCTAAAGATTTTTTTTTTTTTTTTTGAGAGAGAGAGAGAGAAAGAGAGCACAAGTGTTGCGGAGGGGCAGAGACAGGGGTTGAAGGAGGCTCCCCGCTGAGCAGTGAGACCGACACAGGGATTGATCCCAGGACCCCAGGATCATGACTTGAGCCAAAGGCAGATGTTTAACCAACTGAGCCACCCAAGTGCCCCTCTTCAAGTAAATTTTCTGCCCCCTTCTCTCTTTCTTCTCCTTCTGGGATCCCTATAATGCAAATGTTATTAGGGTTGATGATGTTGGTGAGTTCCCTTAACCTATACTAATTTTTTATTTTTTATTTTTTTTCTTTTCAGCTTGGTTGCTTTCCTTACCGTCTTCTGGATCACTGATCTGTTTGTTCTTCTGCATCCTCTGATCTGCTGCCCTTTTCCTCTAATTTTTATCTCAGTTATTGAATGCTTCACCTCTGGTTCTTTTTTGTATTTCCTCTTTAAGTTCTTAGTGAGTTTATCTACTCTTTCTTTTTTAAGTAGGCTCCAGGCCTGGCATGGAGCCCAACTCATGACCCTGAGATCAAGAACTGAGCTGAGTTCAAGAGTCAGACGCTTAGCCAACAGAGCCACCCAGGCGCCCCATTCACTCTTTTCTCAAGTCTAGTGAGTATCTTTGTCATTACTTTTAATTTTTTTTTTTTTTTTTTTTTTTTGGTTTTGAGAGAGAGAGAGAGAGAGCAAGCAGTGGGGAAGGGCAGAGGGAGAGAGAGACAGAGAGAAAGAGAAGCAGACTCCCTGCGGAGCAGAAAGCCCAATGCAGGGCTCGATCCCAGGACCCGGAGATCATGACCTGAGCCAAAGGCAGATGCTTAGCCTACTGAGCCACCCAGGTGCCCCCATTACTTTGAATTTTTTATCAGGCATAACGCTTCTCTGTTTCATTTAGCTCTTTTGCTGTGATTTTTCTTATATTTCCTTTGGGACATATTCTTCTGTGTCCTCATTTTGTCTTAGTCTCTGTTTTTGTTTCTATGGATTAGGGAGATCAGCTACGTCTCCTGGTCTTGAAAGTTGCAGCCTTGTGTCCTGTGGTGTGTCCTGGAATGCAGTGGCCCCTGGGCACCAGAACCAGGTGCTCCATGAGTGTCCCCATGGACGCACTGCATGTGCTCTGCTGTGTGGCTGAGCTGTGTTTGCCTTCCCCTAGTCAGCAGCAATGACCCACTTCGCCTGCTGCAGGCACATGGCACAGGGTTTGGTCCCTGGGCTGTTGAGGGGCCTGATACCAGTTTGGGGCTTGTAGGTAGATGGGATCAGCAATCAGACTAGGTGTCTAAGTCAGCCTTTCTGCTGTAGTTGTGGGCCCTCCGAAGGGCAGGGCTTTCTCCCTGTGGTCCACAGAGGCTTTCACTGATGGGCAGGGCCGGCAGTCAGACTAAATGAATCTTTCTGTCACAGTTATGGGTGCACCAAGCAGTGGGGCTTTTTCCCTGCACAGCCAGCTAAGAGGCTCTGCCTTTGGAACTGGGGGTGGGGGGCTCCATTGGCATGTTGCGTTGTCTCCCTCTCCCCATGGCAGGAGTCACTTTGGTGTGGTGTCAGTCCCTGCCAGAGCTGCTTACAGGGTGTGCTGGGGCAGAAGCTGCTTTCGGCGGGGGACACCTGCTGCAGCAAGAGTGTTAGATGATGCAGGTTTGCAGGGGAATTTGGGGGTGGCACACGGGGGCGCTGGCAAAGTAGGTGGAGTGTTAGTGCTGGTTCTCACCAGTATCCAGCTGTGTAGTCTCAGGGAAGGAGAGCCCCCAACAGCCCCAAGCCCTCCTACCTTGCCCCCCACTAAGGTGTGAGAAGGGGGCTGTGGAGGAAACACCACAGGAAGAGCTGACTCCACAGTTAGTGCTTAGGCCAGATTCCCCGTGAGGACATCTGAGCAGTTCAAGCAGGAGGAAAAATGCAACTTCTGGAAAATGTTTGATTTTTTTTTTAGGAGTGACTGTACCTATTGCTTTGTCAGCTTCCCATGGTATTTGCAGGTTTCTGTAATGTCCAGATAGAGCAAAGGAAGGACATTACTGAAGTTAAAAGCCTTCTGTCGAAGGATTTGCAGAGAACAGGTGAAGAGGGCTACACAGCAAAAATTCCTTCTGGTTATCTTTGGGTGTATCTTCAGATGTTTTTTGATTCTCTGTATATTCTAATATTGTCACAATAAATGCATGTTGCTTTTCTATTAACAATCTGAGTGTACTGGGGCAGGCACCTGCGTGGTGCAGTCGGTTAAGCGTCTGACTTGGAGCATCTCACTTGGTTTCGGCTCAGGCCATGATCAGGGTCATGAGACTGAGCTCCGCATCGGGCTCTGCACTCAGCTCTGAGTCTGAGACTCACTCTCTCCCTCTGCCCGTCCCCTCCCCGCACTCTCTCTCTCAAATAAATATTTAAAAATAAAAGAATCTGAATGTACAGAAAATATAATTTCAAAAAATACTATTTTCAGCTTCAAGTTAAGTACGTAAGAGTTGCTTTAGTAGGCACAAGGAAAGCTTTGAACTTGGTATCCACTGGCTGGCTGCAGCAGGTCTTGACTAATCCAGCCATGGTGGCAAAACAAGAGAATCTTCGACTCCCACTCTCCTTAGGAATATACTTTCCAAGCGCTATTTGACAAGGTCCTAATCAGATGTCCTTTTAACTTGCATACCAAAACTACGGGTCACATCATGAAGAGCTGCCTTATCTTGGGCATTTTTGCTTTTCTCCCTCTTTTCTAACTTGAGGGAAACACCGTTTCTCAGATTATTACAAAAAGCCAACCTAAGTAGTAGTCTCTTTTCATGCACACTCTGGATGTTTGGTTTTCACCCTTAACATAACATGCATTAGTTTTTTTTGTTTGTTTGTTTGTAAGATTTTTTATTTATTTGACAGAGAAAGAGATCACGAGAGCAGGAACACCAGCAGGCTTCCTGCCGAGCAGGGAGCCCGATGTGGGACTCGTCAGGACCCGAGCTGAAGGCAGATGCTTAACAACTGAGCCACCCAGCTGCCAACATGCATTAGCTTTTTAAAAGACCTGTCCCACATCGAATTGCAGGAACTTGGGGAAGCATCTTTTAATGTCAATATGAATTTGAAAGCATCTGTGGCGGCAGATGCTGATTTTTTTTTTTTTTTTTGAGGGATGAGACAGTTTAATTTAGAAATAAGCTTTGGACAGCCTCCTGACCAGAAGGGAGCCTAAGGGCCCACCCTGGGGGAGAGAGGCCATCGTGGAGGGGAAGGCCCCTAGGTGGAGAGAGAACAGCATGGGAGCTGATATCAAGAGTGCCACAAAGCTGGTCCTGTGCTCAGCAGGTACCGGCAGAGCCTGGAGTTATGAGCAGAATGGCCTTCTCAGGTACGGGGCTGTGTTTGATTGGACCTGCATTTGCATTTTCCACTCAAGGCTATCAAGATTCCAGCGATGCACAGGAGCCCTCTGAAAATCATCCCGTCCAGCTGCAGGCTTTCCCAGTCGTAGTACAGGGGACTGTCTTTATCAACCAGGTCATTGGCTTCCAAGGCAGGCAGGCCGGCCAGTGTGAGAAGGCCTCGGGTCACTCTCTTCATGATACAGCTGCAGAGCAGGGCTGACAGCCGGGTGCAGATCTGGAGAGGCTGCTGGGGCTGGGTCGCAGATGCTGATTTCTCAAAGTGTGTGCGCCTTCAACCCTAGCTGTGTGTGAACCGCCGAGAACAGAACTGACTCTGGTAGAGGTCTGCCAGGCACCAACTCGGAGACCACAAAGCAATGGCACCATCCCCAGGGAGGCAACACAGGCACTCTCCCCGTTTTAATTCTGGGCAGAGTTGGGCCTGGGTTGACGCGATCACCTGCTGTGTTCTTTCAGGAACAGAGATGCCCAGCCGAGTTGGCTGAAGGGCTCTCTGCTGGGGGGTGGAGACCTACAGTCTGCGGCTGCAGAGACCACAGATGGAAGGAGGCAGACACCTAAGCCTTTGCTGGCTACCCTAGGGCTGTTTATGACTCTGACGTTTAAAAAAGGCCACCCAAAGATATCTTCTTGAAAGAAATGTTTATTATTTTTATTGGTCAAACAGTTTCAAACAAACTCAGAACAAGTTTTCACATTTTGAGTCTTTAGTGCAAAGACGCTATGTCATGCGTGAAAGAAATGCTGATCCAGTGGAGCCCTCCTCTGAAGCAAGTAAATATTGGGATGATCAGGCGGAAGGAGACATATGTGACAGAAATCTGCTCAGAAATCCTCTTGAAAAAGGACATGATTTAAAGCTCATTTGAAGGTTTTTCACAACATAAATGTGCTTAAACAACTTGTAATCTCAACTTCTTAATTTCAAAACAAAATACCCCAAGTATCAACTATCCCTTTTAAATAAAAAAAATAATCAATTTATACTCTTCTTAAAAGAACTCTAACAATGTAAAATAAGTTCCAATTCCATATATATATATGTACATTTATAACTTAGGTGCTCTTTTGCTCTATATACTTTTACTCATGCAACAGTGACAGAGGACTGGATGTGAAGCCCTACAGAGGCCTCTCTGAGAAAGCAGTATAGCTTCTCACTCTGGCGAAAAACAAAGGGGTGTACATCTTGTCAATCTCAAAAGCAGTAACTGCAGTCTCACCAGTTGATCTGGAAAGAAAGCACAAAATTACCAGTTACAAGGATATTTCAACTCATTTAAAATCCTTACATATTTAGAGGGGAGGGTTTATCTTACACTTTAGTCTTTTTTATTTTTGAATTCATCTCAGTAAATTCGAAATGATAGAGGCATGATAAGAGAAAACTGCAAGCCCAGAATGGTGTCACTTAAACAGAGTTCCCAAACCAGGGCCTAATACCTAATCTAAATGCAGTTTCAAGTCAGTCAGAAATCTTCTGATGGGCCCTCTCCACCCCCCAAAGGCAGATGAGGTAGCCTGCATGGTATGACTCCCTGCTCTTCCCTCTCAGGGAAAGCAGCACTGCCTGGAACAACCCTTCCTGCCCCTACCCTCCTGCTATAAAAACCTTCCATTTTGTGCAACTCCTCCGAGCTCCCCTCTACCTGTTCGATGGGATGCTGCCCAATTCAGGACTTGTTTACTAAAGCCAGTTAGACAATTAAAATTTACTTGGTTGAATTTTTGTTATTTAACAGATTCGGTGGCAGTAAAAGGATCCAAAGGGAACTTCTGGCAGCATCTGGGGACGATGAGAACATAGGCGTGGTCCCTGTGAACCTTCTGAGCTCACTGTCTTTCTCACCATTTTGAGGGCCGTGGGTAAGTTCCTCTCAGGAGTTTTTTGTTGTCGCTGACGTTCAAGCTCCCCATCTAAATAGCGTTCCTGTACAGGGCAGGATGGCTTGAGCTGGCAGGTGCTTATGCCTGCAGCCCAGCCCCTAGCCCCGCAGACCACAGTCCCTGGTGGAAAGCCATGCCCTGCAGGAATTGGTGGCGGAGGGCACAGGGCCCTCCTATGGCTGAGATGCAGTGCTGCCAAAACACCCAAGTGCACAGGTCTGTCTGTCTGGTTTTGTGTAAAGCCTGTCGCTAGTGGGGATCTTGGGAGGCCAAAAAGCTGCAAGAATTGATGGGGATGGGTCGAGCATTTAAAGGCCGTTAGAAGTGCTCACCACCTCAAGAACACTCCTGGGATGGGATAAGTTGGTCGTGAGACAGGTTAGCCTGGCACTAGGTCACCCACCAATCTCAAGAAACTTTCCAGGCAACGAGGTACACTGTAAAACACACCCAATCCCCAGCCCCATGGCACATCCCTTTCAGGTATTCGTTCAGCTCAGAAGATCCCTAAATTCTGAAGGGTCAAGCATGCCACCTTCTGGCACACCTGCTTATTTCATGTCTAAGAACTACAGTCCCAGAAATTTTAGATACCTAGCAAAAACGACAAAATCTTCCTAAGCTTGTTTTGTGTCCTGAGGCACTTGGCTTGGAAACCACCAGGTTGGGTGCCCCAAAAGAAGGCTGATGTGGGTTAACTCTGTGACTAGGGTCCTACCGACGTGCTGCCAGCCCTTAGAGGAATCGCGACCTAGAAATACAACGGCCATTATGGGGAATGTTCCAGTTAGATAAGATCATTTAAGAAGTAGACCTGAAAGCACAAGTTCCCAAATTAAACAGAATGGATACCCATTTCATTTGGCATGCAGATGCCTCCAAAAGGTTTCAAAGTTCCAAAACCATTTCATTGAAAGATTTCATTGCAATAAGTTAAGAAAAATTAAAAAGAGAAAAAGGTAGGTGCCTAAAACAAGACTATAAGACTGGGTACTCCTTCTCGTCTGAACTTTAAAAGACTACCTAAACATCAACCAAATTCTGCCAAGTTAATGGCCTTACGGACACCCTGTTCTCTACCTTCTAAGCAGGGCCCTCCCATGAGTCAACGAAGCTGAGGGATTTTCTGATAAACTGCTACATTATTCCTTAGACAGTCAAGGGGAAACTGGCAGATACCAATCATGCCCAGGGGATCCTGGAAAAACTGGCAGAAGCCAGCAAAAGGTGAAAATTCTTACCAGAGTCCGCACTTCCAAATCTCTGCCTGCCCAGTCACACAAAAAATAAAATCACACTGTCCTTCCCTTCTAAATCCAGACCCACTGGTTACTGATCCCTTCTCTCCCAGCAACACCTACTGCCTTCCTGCTCCTCTGGTTTGGCATTACTGGCCTTGGCTTTCTGCCTGCCTGGGACATGCAGGTTGTTGGTTCTTTCTTTTGGCCATCATTGTGAGTGATTCTAGATTTGGGGAAGTTGATATCCTCCGTACCGTCCTTGCTGATTCATCTTTTACCCAATAGAAGCTATTCAGTACTGCCACAAATATGTAAAGTTAGAATGATGTACCCAGAGGGGAAAAAAAGCAAACTGAGGATACAAGAGTTGGATAGGTGGAGAACCTCTGATGCCATTTAAATTACAATCCAATTCTTTGGATCGAATTGAAAGCAATGGTCCTTATGTTACACATCTTTGCAAAACCACAAACGCAGCTCTATAGGCAACTGAAAGTTCCCCTATTCTTTTACCAATGCCCAAATGTCCCCTGTTTATCTCCGACAGCTTGTACATTATTGGCCTTAGGAAACCAAATTTCTTCTAGAAAGAGCTTGCATTTTTCCCTGTGCTTTTTAAATCTAAATGTTCAATGTTCTACCTGGTCTTCTCCAGGAACTCCTTAGTTCATCTCTTTAAAATGCAAACTTAAGGAGATGATTCTTACCAAGAAAAAACAAAATGGGCAAAGTCATTTGGAACTTGACTTGCCAAGGGCAAATACAAAACTTAAGTGTCTTCTCCAAAGATGTATATAAAGAAAAGCTTTACCCATGTAGCCAGCTAACCTCAACGTATTCAACCTACCAGAAAAACAAACTCACATCCGACTTTGATAAATCCTGTATTTATTTTAGGGCAGGATTTTCAAAATTAGCTATAAGGTCTCTTGAGTCAGTCTGTTCACATGTGTCTATACATGTGTGTTATAGTTATGTGGTACTTTCTACTTCTGATGGTATCAATAAAATGAACTTGTAAAACAGCTCTATTTAGTGGGTTTGAAGGCAAGTGCCTGTAAGGATGGGCATTCTGAAAATCATACAGAGACTAACCCAAATGTTTAAGTGCATGTGACCCAGGAAAATATTTGATATAAAAGCTAGATTACAGTTGATGGTTTAATTAAAAGACATGTTTTTAGTTATCAACATTAAACTTATTCTACCTGAGTTTACTAGGTAAATTCACATTCTCTCTTCTAAGATGTAGCCACACAAAACATAAAGTGTTTGTAGGTAAACATAATTCAGGACAAATAAAGCTAAGCAAGACAAAAGTTCATAAATGAGCTTTTCAGCAATATTTGTCTACTTAGTTTTCCCAAGCTTTTTTTTTTTTTGATAACCTAAAACCTTAAACTGAGTTAAGTTAAATGATGAATTAAGTTAAATTCATTAAATATCTAGATCATTTCCAAATAAGATAAAGTACTAGAGCATTAATTAGTAAACACAGGTTTATCTACTTTTGTCTTCATATTACAAAGGAACTAAAAGATTTAAACATGCTAATGATACATGGAAACATATAAAACAGCACATGCTCTAGAAATTTTAAAATGTACTCATAAATATGCCAATTTTGAAAAAATGCTAGTGTAACAGTTCAAAATTGCTCACTTCTTAGTTTTCACTAGAAATTAAGGTTTTTAAGGATTAAGAATTCTAATTAAATCTTTGTATGCCAGGAAAGCAGGATGTATTTTTCATAAAATAAGGTATGAGAAATAGAGAGTAAGTTTGTCCTAAAATGAAGCTGGTTGTTTAAAGAAAAAAAAAAAGACAAAATCGGGATGTAGAAAAGAGGTTGTAAAAGGTTTGTGGAAAACAAATCTTTGAAAAGGAATTTTAATGTGTGGTCAAGCAGGTTAAGATTAAAATATATCTTTTTTTAAAAAAATGAGTTTTAATATCAAAGTAATATGGTGCAAAATTTAGTTTTCTGTTAAAAAACAGTTTTCTTGGACTTTGGTTGCAGTTTCATAACAATCTGTAATCCTACTTA